TCTCTTTCTTCCTCCCTCTCCCTTCTCTCTTCTTCCTCTTCTCCTCCCTCTCCCTTCTCTCTCCTTCCCCTTCTTCCTCCCTCTCCCTCTCCCTTCTCCTCCTTCCCCCTTCTTCCTCCCTCTCCCTTCTCTCCCTCTCTTCCTTCCTCCCTCTCTTCCTCCTTCTCTCCCTCTCTTCTCCTTCTTCCTCCTTCCCCCTCTCTTTCTCTCCTCCCCCTCTCTTCCTCCTCTCTCCTTCCACCTTCTCCCTTCTTTCCTTCCCCCTTCTTCCTCCCTCTCTCTTCTCTCTCCTTCCCCCTTCTTCCTCCTTCTCCCATCTCTTTCCTTGTCCCTTTCCTTCCTTCTCCCTGCTTCTCTCCCCAATTCTTTGCTTCTTCCCACCCTCCTCCTGTGCTTGGTCTGCCTTCCTCTCAATCCCTCTTTGAAGACATGTATGGTATGGCCAGTTATAATGGTATAATTTAATATTATATGGTTGGTTTATTAGCATGACAAGTCTTGCCTCCATATATATCTATTATCTTTATTTTTTAATAATCATAATATCAATAAAAATAATAAAAATGTCAATATCAAAAGTATTGAAAAGAAAAACACATTTTCCCACAAATTCATGGAATGGGGAAATCATATGCAGTCATTAGGGCTTACTGATAGACTCCTTGGTGGCTGAGCACGTGTGGAGCCATCTGCATGTAACAAAATTCACAAAAGAAACTACAGAGGACAGTACATAAACCCATAGTCATTGGGCTAAGGTCACTTATATTTGCAAGAGTTTGATTATTGGTAACATACAAAGGGTATTTCCTTTTTGCCATGCCAAAATTCTTTAGTCCCGTATTTATGTTCTGTCCCCTGTATTTTTTTTGTGAATATTGTTACATACAGATGGCTCCACATGTGCTCAGCCAGCAAAGAGTCTATCTGTAAGCCCTAGTGACTGCATATGATTTCCCCATTCCTTGAATTGGCGGGAAAATGTGTTTTTCTTTCTTAATACAGATAACATCGATACTGTTATTATTGTTATTGATGTTACAATTATTAAACTGTTATTAAAACCCTGAAAACTTTTATGACAATGAAATAATGCAAAAAAAAAAAACTTCAAAAGTTGAGTAAAAGTTTAAACAGGTTAGATAGGTAGGACTAATAACTGACTCCTTGGTGACTTAAGAACTTATAGAGTCATCTATGTTTAAATACAGTAAATAATCTTGTATTACATTAGGCATGGCATATATTCTTGCCATACATGACAATTGGGTTAATTGACAAAATGAAAATGGGAATGACTTGTAACCAGAAACAATGAAAGTATGACGTTTTATAAAATAACAGTAAAGATACAAGACACTACATGATATAATTCTTTTCAGAAATTCTCTTTTCTCTGATAAATTGCAATATATGTATAACAACTCTTGCTTTCTTTCAATAGAGTCCAGTCAGCAATGGCCATGCAGGGCGTGACTAAGAACATGAGTGGAGCTGTCGGCTCTCTTGACAAGGCCCTCAAAGCCATGGATCTTGAGAAGATTTCTCAGGTCATGGGCCAGTTCGAGTCACAGTTTGAGGATCTGGACGTCAGGACTAATGTAAGTGTCTCTCTCTTAAAAATGATATGGGATGACAAAATTCACAGCAACGTCAGATTTTATTGGATTATTATAAGGGACTTGCGCTGAGTGATCTACCATCCCCTGTCATATGTGTTTTAGCTGATCTCCTCCTCCCACAGGTGATGGAAGACAGCATGGCTGCAGCAACAACCCTTAGCACCCCCAAGAGTGATGTTGATGCCCTCATCCAGCAGGTGGCTGAAGAGGCAGGGTTAGACATGGTGTCAGCCCTTCCCGGAATGGATAGCGTGGGTGAACTCTCCACTGTTGGTGAAAAGACCAAAACCAAGGAGATGGATGAACTCGACCAGAGGCTTGCCTCACTCAGGAACTAGTTCCCTTCTGCTCTGTCCTTTTGCCTCTTTACCTCCTCTTCTTCATCTTTGTTTTTGTCGTCCTGCTATTTGAGCGATGCCATCATTCACCAGGCCTTCATTTCTTCTTAGTGTCGTGTTCAGCAGAGGGTGATAGGGTATTTTTTTTTATTCTTTATTTTTCACATTTTCAATTTCTAGAACTATTACACACACACACACACACACACACACACACACACACACACACACACACACACACACACACACACACACACACACACACACACACACACACACACACACACACACACACACACACACACACACACACACACACACACACACACACCTCTACCTACCTCTCTCTCTATTCATTTTCTCATCATTATTGTTTTTTGTAATGTTTCTACACAGCCTACAGTCAGGAGTGCCCAGTGATTTGGTTTTGCAATTGATATTTTAAGGCTCTGCCCCTGGCAGCCTCTCCTCCAGTTGTGGCATTCTGTTTCCATTATCTGCATGGTGTCTCTCACAATCCATTTGGTGACTGTGGAGACCTCATTCATTTACTGGTTAATGCAGTTTGACAAAGCAACATGTGATTGATGGGGACTTGCATCATCATAATGGTGATTGGTGGAGAGGATAGAGGTTATATAGCCTTGGAAGTTCAGTGTTCATGGTTTTGAACGGCAAATGATTTCTAACTTGAGTTTAAAGGTACTTAGGTCACAATTTATTATTATTTTTATTATTATTATTATTATTATTATTGTTGTTGTTGTTATTGTTGTCGTCTCTTATTATATATGATTCTTCTTATTATTTTTTGTCTTACATTTTTCTTTAATTTTTACTTTTATCATTATTATTATTATTATTATTTTATTGTTATTTTTATTAATCACCATCATTATCATTACTTAAGTTCTCCTCCAATACTTTTGGGGAGGAGATTTCTTGGAGTTTAGTAGTGGAAGCCCTGTAATTTTAAAACCATTTGAGTTTTGAAGTAATGGAAAAAAATGAATTTATATGCGATTGATTTAGATGTTTGCTTGTGTGATCATGGTTCTTTGATTTATAAATCCGATTCTCACTTTATACAATATATAATGATACTAATAACACAGTGTTAAATTGTTTACTGGATGTGAATGCTAACTGATTGTCTGTGTGAGAGGAAAACAAATTATGTGTATATATACATTCAAAAGAAGAAAACACGAATAAATGAATAAATATATGAATGATGCTCTTTATATAGTCTTTGAATTTTATTTACTCAACATTCCTCTCATGTTTGGTACCCTTAGTCCCTTGCCTATTGTTGTTGTTGGGGGGGGGGGGGGCTCAGCCCTTGGTTTAACCAATTTTGCAGTCTTTTCCTCTCCCCCTTTCCTTTTTCATCTCTTCTCTAACCTCTTCTGTCCACTTCTGAAGATGTGAGAGCCATGTTGAAAGCATGAAAGGCTGACTTTGTGCCAGTCATAAATGGCTTCAGGGAAACATGGGCATGTTATTCCCTTTTTTTTTTTTTACTCTGACTATCTCAATAATGTCTCCATAAACAAGTAGGCAAAGGTTCTTTTTGCTGCCATTCAGAGCATTCATGCTTTGTCACAGTACCGTCTGAGTCCCAAGCTCAAGTAACACCTCACTGGTAAACCTATTCCTGCCCAGTCTCACTCCTCTGTTAATAGTAGTACCAGCACTAATTCCATCTTCCTGGCTGATTGCCCTATCTGTGACAAGGATTGATCAGACGGTGAAGACGACCTGCTCCACCCTCCATTCCCTCTATTCCTATTCGTTCTACATTCAAAGTATTTGCCAATATCCATCCTCACCTTCTCCATATGCATCATGATTCCCTCTTCCTTCCCCATTATCCTTACCACTCCCACCTGGTTTCTCATGTGACTCTATTATGTCACAACAATGTCCCTCTGTTGAACCCTCCCCTCCCAACATTCTTCCTGATACTTCAGCACCTTTCCACGTTCCCTTATCACATTCTCTGGATTCTTCTCTTACTTCTACAACTACCATTTCTGCCCGTATACCCATTGATTGTTTCATAATGGTTCTTTTTGCAGTTTTCCTCATACGGTGTTACTCTCCCTTCCTGAGACACATAGCCTTCATTTGATCTGATTGCACAATACCTTGAATACCTTCCCCTTTTACAAATCCCCTCCATATTCCATTTGTTCCCCTTCTATACTTTTTTCACTACCGTTCTATCCTACAGAGTTCTACAACCTTTGACATCTAACACATCTTATCCTAATTGTTAACTCATTTCCACCCATTTTGCCACAATACCTTATTATAGTGCAGGGGAACGCTGCCGGCAAACTTGGTTGACTTGACTTGTTTTTTTACTGTGCCAATACCCCCCCCCCCCATGAGACCTAAATAAGAAAAAGTCGAAAATTTTAAGCCATAATGTAAGAGAATATATTGAGAATACACAAAAGATAATAACACAAATTCGTAAGAAATATTTTCATACAGCAGCATAAAACCACAAGACTCGAAATGGATCAGCGAAGTAACAAAGTGCGCAGCACCAGGAAATCAGAACTAAACCGCAGGCAGAAGCGTTACATAAGAAAAAAATATATCTATAACATATAAAAATATCCAACAATAATACAATGGTTATATGAAATTGAAAAATAGGCCAATAATGCAGGAATATAAAACAGAATACAAATATAAAAAACTATAAATTATCCAACAACAATAAAAACTGATACAAAAAAATAGTCAAAAATGCAATAATACAAAAGAAAATACAAATATATAAAAAACTAAAAAGTTTAACAGAATAAACGATAATAAAAACAGAATAAACGACAAGAATTAAGTGTATTTCCACAGAGCAGATGGACGTGGTTTCGGTGCAGAACAGGGGCGAACCTGCTTGTCCACTGCTGACCTGTGTGACTGCAACCAGGTCTTAACATAAGGAAGAGAATTGGTGGCAAAGTTTGACAAGGAAGGTCTCTGAATATTAATGAACATCAACGAAGCAATGTGAGTGGTCGTCAAGTTCGTGCGGAAGTCGTTGACGACAAGGTTCATCTGACTGAAACCTCGCTCACAGTCAGCTGTGCTGCATGGCAGAATGTCAATGCACCGCATCAACTTCTTGAGGTGTAATGGAACATGCCTCCCAACAACTTCAGCGAAGTCATCAAATGCATTGATGGTCAGGGCGACCGACTCCATGCCAAAGCGCCGGCACAAACTCCGGACTTCAGTGAGACCAAAGCCAGGTTCAATGTGCAGATGGCTGACAAAGCGCTAAGGGATAGTTGAAACATGTGAACTTGCGTCATAGAAGTTGCGGTTTTCGGGTTGTCTTGTAAATGGACGGGACTTGCAAAAATGGTGAATTTTTTTTTTTTTTTTTTTATTTCTCCTTAAAAAAAGATTTTATAAAAAGAAATATATATATATAAAAATATATATAAAAAAAATTGTACTTTTCGCATTACCACACAGTTAAATTGCCGATTTTTCACAAACTTATGGAAAAATCGCTGGGGGAATGCCGTTCCCCTGCGTTCCCCCCCCCACTACACCCGTTATAGTGCTATATGACCTTTGATTTCTAGCACATTTATTTCTTTTAACCATTAACCATAAAATCATCTGCCCCTGTCTCTGCAGTCTGGTGGTTGATTCATAAACTATTAGGCAAATGTCCTTCTCTTCCTAGCCCTGTTCTCCATATCCACAATAGCTTCTATAGTCTCTGTAAGATACAAGACCAGTTGTTTTATCTGTCTGCATAACAGAAAGCAGTAAAGTTTTGCTGGATACCAAGCCATGTCAGCATATGAACAAGCAGATGCCTTGTCTATAACTCACCAACACTGCTTTTAACATATTCCAGCCACCGTCTACTACCCCCACTTCAAAACTTTCTTATATAACCAATGGCAGTCTTGCTGGTCAGGTATGATTACCAATAAACTTCAAACTTTCATCTCCCCTTGGTCATCTCCATACCACCAGAACAAACACTGGGAAATTGTCCTTGCCTGTTTAAGAATGTCATACCCAACTCATGCAATCATACCTCAAATCACACTCCAACCCACCCCTATGTTCTACATGCAATGTTTTTTTTCAGTTCCACATATCCTACTATCCTGCCCCCATTTTACTGAAGCCTGTACACCCTTGCTTTTCCTTCCTTGTCTTCTTTTCCCCAACCCCCCCAACATCATCATGGTATCCCTGACCTTTCCACTCAACAGCCTGTTCTTCCTCAGATACATAAATACCTTCTATTTGATCTAATTACCATTTGTCCTTAACCTTTCTCCTTCTGTCAATCCCTATCCTACCCCACTGAAAACTAAGGCATTTTGATCTAAGAAAAGAGCTTTAAATCCCTCCCACCTCAATACTTTACCATAGTGCTATATGACCTTTGATGTCTAGCACATTTGTTTAAAACAATAATTAAATATAGGAGTCTCACATTAGTCTTCTTTTTTATTCTTTTTTTCATAATCAGTAAATACCATTTTTTTTCTTGATTTTTATATCCACTTCATTTTTGTTTGCGTCAAAAGGATTAGAAATTTTTTTTTTTTTTCTTTTTCATTTTCTTTAATCCCAATCATTTATTGGTAATTTGTACAGTACATGTAATAAATATCTGGAATCTCATTAACAAAGAATATGGTCAATTTAGTACACATTTTAAGCTCTCACTTTCATCACTTGATTTTGCCATGATTTAGCTGTTAACAACTGTTGCTTTAATTAGGAAGAGATACAAATACAAGTCCCAGGAGTGAAATTCATGTACATGTACTTACACACATTCCTCTTTCTCTATAATACTTGCAGTAAATTGTATCTATGAAAAGCAACTGAAAATACTGATGCAGAAAGGAGAAAAATAGTCAGATCCAATCTGGAAAAGAAAATAGAACAAAAAATAAAATAGAAATAAGTCAGATTCAACACATTAACTCCTACTCATCAAACCAACTTAGTTCCTGTATTATACTATTACTATATTATTTTATTATAACATAATTTATAATACTAGCCCCTCCTCTACCCTGAGTAAATCTTATTCAAAAATAGCTAGAAATAACCTTGTAGAATATAGAAAAACACAGTTCTACAAATCAAATCATTCTAAATAATCACAGGGAAATCATTGTTTTTTTTTATTTATTTTTTTTATTATTATCATTTTTTTTTTACATCATCCTGTATGTATATATACTGATGTGATAGAGAAGTGTATGCAGGTGTCCTTTTTTTTTTTCTTCTTCTTATTTTTTAAGTCACTTTTAAACTTTTCACATTTTTCTCGAATTAAGTCCTTCCCCTAATTTTACTTGTCTTTTTTTCTTATTTCATTTCTCATTCCCATTCTTTGCGTATTCTTTTTCTTCTTCAATATATTGGTAGGTAATATTTAACTATTTTTCATCTAGTTGAGGTATAAAAACAAAGGCATTCCATCAAAATGGGAGGTAATTGTACTTCAATTTAAAATGTGTGCATGTGCATGTGAGTGTGCGCGTGTGCGTGCGTGTGTGTATGTGCGTGTCTGTGTTCATGTGCATATCTGTGTACGTGTGTGTGTGTGTGCGTGTTTGTGTGCATGTGTGATACATACATATATATACACATATAAAAGGAGATGTCTACCAGAGATTGGAGGAAACAGAGAATGCCCTTCCTCTTTCACATCACATAATATATGTGCTGTGTAGTGCATCCATCATATGGATTGTATAGAAATTTTCTTTGGTATAAAAGCAAATAAGACGGAGGAGGGAGAGGGAGGGGAGACAAAAGAACAAAAGAAAAGTAAAAAATGAAAAAAGAAAGAAAGAAAGAAAAAAGGCACCTCTTTGCATTTCATCTTCCTGGGTGTATATATATCCCCAACCCCACCCCCCACCTCCTATCCAGGGCTGCTCTCTTCTCTCATTCACTTGCTTGGGTAACCTGCCTTGCCTCTCCCCCCTCCCCCTCCCCTCCCCCACTCTCACTCTCACTCCCTGGGCACCACCAGGTAGGGCTGATGAGGGACCAACTTTCCCTTGTTGCTGCACTGCCAGATCCACGTCGGCTTCACAAACTGCAGACTCGGGTTCTCCTCCAGGGCCTGAAATGACAGAGGTTGGAATGAGTCGGCACGATAGAAATCAATGCTGATCAGTCTGTAAAGTGAAACGAGTCAAAACGTGTCTTTTGAGTCGATATTGAGTGGTTTAGCAAAAGCCAAAATTCGTGAAATAAGATAAAGAGTGGGATGAGTGGAGTGTGACAATTCGTGATGTAATTAAGGAGTAAAACGGAACGAGACCAGAATGAAAAAAAAAAAAAAAAAAATTAGAGAATACAAAAAAAAAAAAAAAGGCCTGTAAAAAAGAAAAGGAAGAAGGGGAAAGAATTCTGAGGAGGCTGTTGTGGTTCCACTTACGGCATCAAAGTTCTCATCCCACTCGTCCTCGGTGACTACATACTGCACTTCTCCAGTCATGTACTCCTCCAGTGTCCTGTCAAAAACAAGTGAGTATTTAATATGAAGAAAGAAAGTAAGTGAAAAAGGTTACGAGAAAAGGTGTAAATTAAGATAGATGATGTGATGCAGGGGGATATATATATATATATAGAGAGAGAGAGAGAGAGAGAGAGAGAGAGAGAGAGAGAGAGAGAGAGAGAGAGAGAAAAAATAGTATGCACATAAGCATGATTTATCTAGGCCATTAGACCTAGGGCTACATATGTCACTGTGCACAGGTCTCCACTAGCCTCTGGGCCCCCAGGGCTGGCTGGCTGGACACATGACACTGTGCCTAGTGCTTGCTCTAAGACATTGCATCTTCTTCATTACTGTGCTGTACTCTTCTTAACCCAATGACGCCGGGTGTACAAAAGGAAAATAAAACTCTACGCTCTGGCAAACAAAGGCGGCGCGCCGACTTTGAGCGCCGGAGTACGGGGCGTCAGCCCGAATCACTGGCTCGCCGCGCTTTGGCGCGCCGCCGGCTGGTTTGGCCGCACGCCACCTTTCGAGCGATTTGTTTACACGCGTATCGCCGTCACCCGGCGGCAAGGGGTTAACCCAATGCCTACGGGTATGGCATGTACATACATACCATGCCCACTATGAGTTTACTTGTTTAATTATTTTAACACATAGATAGCTACACTTGTACGAGCCAATTACGAGTACTGCCTGTCTTGCCTGTTTACTTTTCCTTTATTATGAAAATATTTTGCATTATCTTATTTTGCTGTTACTAATCTTTATAACATTATAGCAATTATAATATTCATAATAACAATAACACCATCAATACTCATAGCATTGGTAAAAAATACATTTTTCCCACCACTTCAAGGAAAGGAGAAATCAGGTAAGGTCACAAGGTCTACTAATTGACTCCTTTGTGGCTAAGCACTAGCCATCTATATGCAGAGACATTTCACAAAAATATAAAAAATGAGCACAGTATCTTCCCATTTTTAATTCATTTTCCCTGGCTGCATTGGGTTAAAAATAAAAGAGTCAAGATGTGGAAGCACTATCACTGCCCAACCAGTTAGGTTACATAGCCATTGTACTAAGGCTCTAGAACCTGCTACAGAGAGAAAGAGAGAGAGAGATAGTGAAAAAGAAAAAGAAAGAAAGAAAGAATGAGAGTATACATAAGCATGATTTCTGTAAGCCATTAGACCATAGACTATGTGGCTCTAAATTTAGAACTAACATACCAGCAGTCGCTGCGACCAGGTCAGCCCAGCCTCTGGCCCACCAGGGGTGGCTGGTCAGAGACACGACCCCACACTCAGCATTTACCCTAACACATCGTCTTGTGTGTTACCTTCACTGTGTAGTACTCTTCCTTAATAAAGAGTAAAGACATTTAAACAATTATGACTACCGCTACTAGCCATTGTACTAAGGTTGTGACAGCCTTTTACAGAGAGAGAGGTTTAATTTGATCCCATTTGTTACAATGGATATTCTCGGTGTGACATAGTATCTGTTTCATTTTGCTTCTAAGTTATCTCCTGTGTGCAAGGAATGGCCAGGGTTACCATCCATTGGCAGCGAGGGATTTGAACGCTGGTTAGCAAGAATGCTTGACAAGATCACTACCACTGCCCCACAGAGAGAGAGTGAGAGAGAGAGAGAGAGAGAGAGAGAGAGAGAGAGAGAGAGAGAGAGAGAGAGAGAGAGAGAGAGAGAGAGAGAGAGAGAGAATTTTCCTATAGGTGCTGGTGTTCCCCAAGGAAGTGTCTTGGGGCCATTGCTCTGGAACATACATTTCAATGATCTCCTAAAACTCATCCCAGAAGCAAGGGCATTTGCTGAAAACTGCACTCTCCATTTCACTTTCAACCAGGAAAACAGGGGCAGAAGTTCAGCATACTGTCTAGCAATGACTGGCAGAAATTACCATATTGGGTAAAAGATAGCAAGCTACATTTATTCCTGAAAAGACCCAGATGATCATCATATCTAAGCTTTGAGAAAAACCCAATCTTGAGCCATCTATTGATGGTAAAAAGAAAAGTCGATCATTGAGGTTTTAGGTATAAAATATTTGTGTGTTTTCTTATACCTCCCTTCTTTGTTGTACTTGCAATTTGTATAACATGAATTCCATACGTGTGTGTGTGTGTGTGTATATATGTATTTTTATATATATATATATATATATATATATATATATATATATATATATATATATAATATACACACACGCATATATAATAACATATATATCATAATCATATAATTATAAATATATGATTATTGACATAATTATAGATATATAATTATATATAATATATAATTATATGTATAATTACATATATAATATATAATACACACACACACACACATAAATTTTGTTACAAAATAATGATATCAGACAAAAAGCCCCAGTGGAATAGTTTGGCCACTCAGCGACTCACCCGTTAAAAGCGACGATATATCTGCGCACCATCTTCTTGGCACGTTCGTCCATCCCGCCGTAGATGAAGAAGACCTTGCCAGTGAAGTGGCCGCCCAGGGAGGGGAGGGGCAGGGCCGAGGTATCGGGAGGTTGCTACGGGAGAATGGAAAAAGGATTAAGGACAAAGACTAAGAATGACCGGAATTATGACAAAACTTATAATAACTGGCTGATTTGTTAAAATTGCAAGAGGCCTGACCCAGTGAATAACAATTAATTTATGGAACGTGTATACAAATTTATAAATGTATCTGTGTACCTATATGATAGATATTGATCTACCTACCTAGCTGACAGATATTCAGATCTAGAGTGATACATAAATACTTAACGGTATACATACACATGTCCATATGTATGACTATATCTTGGGTTGGAACTCTCTCAATTTTAACAAAATGGGAAAATATCAATACTACCACAATTTACAATGATAAAAGAGTAATTATGATAATAATAAGTAAATCATATCATTCTTGAAGCTGCCTTTTTGTTAAGGTTGGAATCCAACTGACGTTTCTGGAGAGGCAATGTACTAGGGTCTTATTCCTCAAAGGGTCTATGGTACTCATAGGATAGTAGAACCACTCAGTGCTGAAGAAAATCCTACGTAAGCCCTGCCAGTTTGCTATCCTTTACTGGAAATAATAATAGGGTTGCTTTATTTTTCAGTCCTTTTCCTTTTCCTTTTTATTTATTTATTTTTTTTCATTGTAATTCTTCAACAATCTTCAAAGAAAATAGGGAAACACTTACCAAAGGATAAGGAAACAGTTATTCAGAAGGATAAGAAAACACTTATCAAAGGATATAGGAAACAGTTATCAAAATATAAGGAAATGGTTATCAAAGAATAAGGAAGTGGTTATTAGAGGATAAGGAAACGCTTATCAAAGGATATAGGAAACAGTTATCAAAATATAAGGAAATGGTTATCAAAGAATAAGGAAGTGGTTATTAGAGGATAAGGAAACGCTTATCAAAGGATATAGGAAACAGTTATCAAAGGATAAGGAAATGGTTCTAAAAGAATAAGGAAATGGTTATCAGAGGATAAGGAAACGCTTATCAAAGGTAAAGGAAACGCTTATCAAAGGATGAGGAAACAGTATCAGAGGATAAGAAAACATCAAAGGATACGGAAATGCTTGTCAAAGAATAAGGATACAATTATCAAAAGACATCTCACAGACGGACAGGTGCGAAAAAGGAGCATAGCTAAATAACATGTTCAGCCAATGGGGACCCCCCCAAGAGATCCCACAAATGGCTAGACAAATAATCATATAATTTTCTTGATGCCAGGAGTAAGACAAAAGTTCCAAGCTTTTAATTTATGATAATGAGGCATCCTATATTATAAACATTCACTGGAATGCTCTAGAGAAAAAATCAAATTCCTTTTCTGATCCAAGACTAAATGGAAGTTTGTTACCTATCTTATAAAGACTTTGGGGACGTCCCTCCCTTCCGATGGCTTGAACTTCGACAACAAGTTCCCATGTTTTTAAGCATCCTTTTAACCCCTACAATCCAGATGACTTGATCGTCACGTCATGAAAAAATTTGGTTTCAGGGGCAGGTGACATGAACATGCCGTCAAGGGAAAATTTGGATGTTAGCTGGGGTGAAGGCAACTTGCCGTCATGAGAATTTTGGCTAGAGGCTGGGGTGACAGGAATGACTCACAATTTGTGCACAAAGCTCTTGGAAGGTGATGAGACTCAGTGGGCATTTAGAAAGGGGCTTTTGCATTATTTCTATCTATTAATGAGTGAGGAATGTACCACCCGTGAGATATGATTGGAAGAGCACCAGTTCCTGGGAAGACAATATTTCCGTGCTTAGGATCCTATTCCTGCCCTGACCAGAGGCACAGGTTGAATTACAAAAAATTGGATATTATGAAGAAAAAAAAAAAAATTAATGCCACAAAATAAAATGTTACTTATTGTTATTATTGCACCGAGTTATTGATCACCTAGAGAGATGATCCAGAGTCTGTGCAAGGAAAACAATCAATTAACATCTGGATAAAGCAAACAAAATAAATATTGACATTGGAATATGGTAAAAAGCAAAAAACACTTATGCAGAAAAGGAGAAAACAATATTGCAAAGGGAAGGCACGGAGTCTTGTAACCACATGTGCGTTTGTGTACAGCAGACCTACAAGCTACACACCCATCAAGGTGGCTGTTCAAGAATGCCTAATGCCCATACTTTAGGCCACATGCAGGTAGTGAAGCATCTAAATCTAAGGTGTTAAGAAATTTAATAACACTTACTATATCATCCTTACAAGTCTTCTTTGGGCCCATCACAATTAATAGTATAATAAACCTCCAAAGGCATCACAGTAAATTAGTCATGTGTTAATAGCTACTCTACACTTTAATCATCACAATCTAATCAGTAACTGATCTATTGTCTACTGGTGATATGCATGGACAGAAAGAGGGAGGAGAGTTATCATGCAATCAGTTTTTTCCCTCAGTGAAAAAAATAGCATTCCAAATAAAGCCATTCATATGTTCACACCCTTGGGAGAATATTTGACTAGTAGGTGATGTTTATCCATTTGCAGAAAATACATGACAGAAAAAAGTGAATGATAGAAAATGGTAACAAAGGAATTATTAAATGGAATAATAATCAAACAAAGCATCAATAAAGATCCAGTCTCATCCAGACATTACAAAACAGCATGAGATAAAGTTCAACCAAGACTTCTTACCAGATACTTCTTCTTGTCCTCATCTACATCTGTGTCAGCATCATAGTCTGCCTCCTCGTCTTCCTCCTGCTTTCTCTTGCCCCCTTTTGCAAAGCCGTTCGCTTCCGCTTCCTTCCTTTCCGCTGTCTTTCCTCCCTTTTCCCCTTGCTTCCCTTCTTTCCGCTTTTCCCAGCCTTCTGCTATGGACAAGGATGACGCCTCACACTCCTTACCAGCTCCTTCCTTCCGTCCATTGACCATCTTCTTGGGTTCATCCCCGGAGGTCTCCATCTTGTCCCTTTTGGCTCCAGCTTCCCCTCGGAGCTTTCCATTGGCTGTTTTCACCTGCTGCTCTTCCTCTCTTCTGCATTCTGCCTCTTCTTGTCTTTCTGTTTCTCTTTCTTTTCTTGGAACTGGCTCCTTCTTCTCTCCATTCTTGTCTTTTCTCTCTGCCGAGTCCATTCTCTGAAGTTTCACTGATTCTTTCTCTCTCTCACTTGTCTTCTTTTTTGCCAGTACTCTGTAATATTCAAGTTCATAATGGCCTATTAGAAATATATCTTATACTACACTTACTGACATTCCCCTGCATTAATCACAAAATTCATTAAGCATCACATCATTAGAATCATATCATAAGTAATACCACAAATACCACATTCAAAATATCAATAGTATCATATTGACCTACTTGGCATGGATGGCAAGAATACAGACCATGCCCACTGTAATATAAGTTCATTTATTGTCTTTATACAGATGGCTCTACAAGTGCTTAGTCACCATGGAGTTAGTTAGTAGTCCTACCTATCCCACCTGTTTACCCTTTACCTTTCCTATGTATTATTTTATTGCCTTTAATGTTACTAATATCTCAATATCTTATTAGCAATTTATTAACCCAATGCCGCCGGGTATGACGTGTACATACGTGCTATGCCCACCGTGAGTACTTGTTTGATTGTTTTTACCCATAGATGGCAACACTTGTACTAAATCACCAATGAGCCAACTACGAGCACTGGTCGTCTCGCCCGTTTACCCGTTTCTTTGATTTACGAAATATTTTACGTTATCTTATTTTGCTGTTACTAATGTTAAAAAACATTATAAAAATTATAATGTTTATGATAAAAATAACACCATCGATTTTCATAGCACTAGTGAAAAATACAATTTCCATTTCAAATCAGGCGCTAGCAGAGCCATCTATCTGCAGACATTTCACGAAAAACATAGAAAGTGGGCACAGCATTTTCCCCATTTTTTGTTCATTTTCCCCGGCGGCATTGGGTTAATCATAATATCAATAAGAA